AGCAAGGCTATGTGAAATTGAATGGAAACGTCAGCTCAACTCATATCATTGTGAGAAAATTCTACTACCATTCCTTCATCAACTTACACGAAATAGGGTGAATGCATCCCTTTATGCTTAGTCTTGTTGAGTTGGGCTTCTTTTGAATGGCTCTCACTCTAGTCGAGTCTATCCGTGCTCTTTTCTCTCTCTCCTGCTCCTTACATGATCATGTTGTCTGGAGCGGGTTTGTATGAAATTCCATCATTCTATGACCTCTGCTGTGAATTCCTCCATCAATACTTTACTCCTTTTATGCTACTCTTTCTGGTTGATCTTCTTGGTCCATAATTATCGCTTGTCCTTTCCGCACAACTACCAATAGCCTTTTTCTCTGGTCCCTCTTTGCCCATCAAACCTTCAGATCAACAGCGAAGCAGCTCGCCTCGTCGATGCTCTTCGACGCCGACGTGTCACGATCGCCAGTTGGCTCGATCGCCTCGACTCGATCTCGGTCTCGGGCTCGGGCTCGCCAGCCGAACGACATCGCCTTGTGGCAGTCGCTCGCCGTCTCGTCGCCTGGCGGGAATCGCGCCAGCCCGACGTCGTCACGGAGCCGGCCGCTGGTCGCTGTCCCGGTCCCAGTCTCGATCCCGGTCTCGGTCCGGGCGTCTTTGCCGTGCGTCTTTCGCTGGATCCCGCGGTGCTCGTCTACGCCGTCGAAGTGGCTCGAGCGTCGATGTGCTCGCACGCAACGTCCGATTCCCGCTCGTCTCACGAGGCCCCTTCTTCGGTGTCGGCGTCCGACGGCGATTGGCTGGCTGCAACCGACGAATCGGGACGGCTGGGCAATCTGGACAGGCTGCGCGGCCTGGCGCGACGCAGGTTGGCCGGTTTTCTGCAGAAAATCGAGCAGACGAGTCAGTTGGTTTAGTCCAATTCGGCCGCCAGCTCGGCCGGCGGGAGTGTCTTTTCTGCTCTGGCCGGTTCGTGGTTGTGCCGTCTGGCACGACTCGAAGAAGCCGACGAAAAAAGCAGCTGCAAAGTTGATCTGGAGCAGACCTTTGTGCCATTCCCTCCTCCTCCGCCTACATTTGCCTGTGCTGCACCAATCGGTCACACTTTTGTGGGATAGTTGTGACGCTTTCTTTGCAACAGCATCCAATTTGCGTCTGCATTTGCCGACTCTTTGCAATTTCATTATACGCCGCTTCAGAGACATCTTCCTTATCTCGTCATGACCATTATTTCGTTTTTTTACGATGAGGATTTTATACATTTTTATTTGACCCAACACGGTCGTGGAGTGGGGAGTGACAGACTTCTTGATCAGCTTTTTGTGCACTTTGTTATCACTTTTTACTTTTTATGTTGTTGCTTTTTACATTTTAGCTGTTCCTCTCTTCTGTGTATAGACATATTGCCCAAATAAAGCCTGCATTTTAATGGATTTCTCAAATCTACCCTAATTTTAGGGCTTTTTCCAACTGTCCCATGACATGAGATTGCCTGCTGGTGTGTTTCTTTTTGTCAGTCATACCCTACTTGAGTTGGTATCTTCGACACTGCTTTTCAACTGCCAATTGGACCATTCTGAGATATATTCCGCCGTCTCGACGTTTACTATTGGCCAGAAGACCTCTTGGTTTTGGTGCCGGGGTCACCTTGAAGAAGGTGCCCGGCATCATGTCTGCATTCGGTCGTGGTTGCCATGCGTGGGCCAATCTTCAGCCATTTCACCGGCATCGTAGTCGGTCTGATGATTGAGGAGCGCCATGCTTCTGGGTCTCATGAAGCTGCAAACAGGTTGTCAATACGAGATTATATCACTTCTTCTACCCAGCAGAAGATTCCCATGCCTAATCTTCCCTTAATTTTGTCCCGCTCCACATGCGTGGCTACGTTGGAGAATTCCTTTTGACCAGCTGTCGAATGGCTTTACTGGAACCTTCATGTTGACGCTGTTTCCGAGGCAATCTCCTTTTATTCCGGTGAAAAGATGTTAAGCTTTCGTTCGTCATGTGACGAACATCATCGGAGCAAGGTACCATCGTCGCAACAAAATTCAAGCTAATGAATCAAGAAAATTCATTGGCAAATCCCCTGTTAGCTTGAATTCGGTTGTGACGATGAGACCTCGCTCTGATGATGTCCGAAGGACGAAAGCTTAGCATCTTTTCACCGGAATCGAAGGAGATTGCCTCGGAAACAGCGTCAGCATGAATCTGCCAGTAAAGCCAATCGACAGCTGGTCAAGAGGAATGCGCCGTCGTCTTCTGGTGGTGGAAACGACCTTCCAATCTCTTCACCCAACACTTCCACTCGAAATGGAAGTAAGCTCAGCAATTATGAAACAAGAGATTCCTGGAAACCCAACTTTTCATCGTATACGTTGGAGAAAGATCATGTCTATAGGGCCTATTGACTGGACGCTATTGATCCTTTGAAGAAGGCTCGCTTGTGTCAGTAGACTAGACGACATCGCCTTTCATCTTCTCACGTGAAATTGATGTTCCGCAAACGATGCTTCTGCTGGCAGGTCGTCATTGCATGCAACGAGAATGCCACTGATCTACCCGTCGTATTAGTCCCCTTTTTGCTGGGCACGAAACATTTCCTTTTCTTCTTTCGTCTTGGCCAATCCAATATGGCGTCTGTTGAAGGACGCTTTTTTAGTCTATTCTGAAAATGGCCTGAAATTATATGTGAAAATTGTTGTATTTACTTTGAGCATTGAAGATATGGAGACTAAAAAGGTGTGATTTTAGTTTCACAGCTTGGTCGTATTGTCAAAGAGTCTTGGCCGGAGTGCTCCAACACAGAAGACATGCTAATTTCCAGCATCCGACCGTACACCTTTTACATTCACATGTCCCTCAGGCCACGGACCATCTGGATATCATTGGCGGTGTGTGAGTCTAATCGTTGAACCAGAAGATGAGAAACAGATCTTCTGAGGCAAGAGGAACTTGAAAATGTACCAGGTCGACGTTCGGACGCCGGAACCCATCAGGGATACTGTGACAGCAGACTTAGGAAAAGGTGATTTAACGTAGCTATATCTAAAAATAAGAACAAATTGTAAAACTAAGAGCAAATTACTTCTGTCTAAACTGGTCATGCTGCTTTATTTGCTCAACTCCTACCATCATGAGATGAGCCTTGCTTGAGAATGTGGGAGATGCTTACAATTAGTTACTTTATAATGGGATCGTCTTCATAAAGTCGGCTTAATCTGTAAAAAAACGCAAAATTGTGTGCACTGTTATGCACTAGGAGAAGATGGCTAAACTAGAAAAAATGTAGGATGCTGGGTTTTATTAAAAACATTACCTAGGAAACAGCA